TGCATTACATGTATAAACATTACACACATCACATTTTACATTTCATAAAAGTCCTTTCAGTTACAATTAAATTAACAAGAGAGAACCAAACAAACAGACATGATATACAAGGCATACAATTATTCACACACACCAAAGTTTACATTTACGCTCCATATAGATACAAGTAGTTTAAAAAGAGAGATTGATAAATAAACAAGCAAGCAACAAACAAACAAACAAACAAACAAGCATAACAATAACCCAACAAAAGCACAAATAGAAAAACTGACAACAGCGGCAAGCCAAATAACAAACCCAGAGCAGCTCCCCCTACATATTCGCAGGCAGGGCAAAAACCATAATATAAATCGCTGGAAATATTTTAAAATACATGTGTACATGTACTACATACCCAAGTCAAATCACTAATTAATACTATTTAATATGGTAACTAATGATGGAATGGTGGACTTGTTATATCTAACGGACCTACACTTAGGGACCTGCATGCCAGTGATGGTGGATGATCTAAGCTCTCTGCTACACACACTTTCCCTAAGTGGTGGCAGCATGTTTCTAAATCTATTAGAGTTAAGAAGTTTGTTACCAAACTTAAGCAGCAGATCCTCCCTCCTAGATTTAAGGGTAGCCAAACCAAGCACGCTGAGTACTGCGGTGTAGGAGTCATAGCCATGGCCAAGAATGATACACACTGCACGTTTCTGTATGTTTTCAATTGCAGTCACTTTGGCGGACACTAATAGAGCTGTGCCAAACCTGACTAGCATACTCTAAAATAGGCCTTATGTAGCCAGTGTACACAGCAACCATGTGAGAGGTGGGTATATTAGCCTTCTTAAGAATACACAAAGTGTACAACCTACGGGATGCCTTAGAGACAATATCATGAGGTCGTTTTGTACACTAACACCGAGTAACTTCATGGAGGTCACAAAATTCAATGCTGTGTCATCAAGTTTAAATGAGGACCTAGGTGTGTCACGCTTCAAAAAAAACTTACTGTCATGGTCTGACATTTAGATGGCTACGGAAGTACATGTACACTGTTGTCATAACACCAACTCGACAAGTCATCAAGATCAGAGATGCCACAGGGTCTGCTTGAAAAAAAAGGAACTGGGCCTGCTTGAAAAAAAACCGGAACGGCTGCTTGAAAAAACCAGACTTTTTTGTGTGTGAAAAAGCCACTCCGTGGCCCGCACGCGGTGAAGCACGCGCGAGGCGCGGCGCCGTTGTATACTGCGTGCAATTAAGTACGTTGGCCGCTTGTATCGCATGCAGGCTCGGCAACAACATACACAAAGACTGTTTTTAAGACTACTTCAACGAAACGTCGCGTTGTGCCATGCGTGCGCCTAAATGTACTAAATCGAGGTAAAAATCAACGCATTTCCACAGTTTTTCTTCTCTTTCTCTGGTTAATTTGACGGCCGGAAAAACCGGAATTTTGTGAGATTTTTTTTAAAAACCGGCATTCCGGTTAAAACCGGAAAAGTGGCATCTCTGTCAAGATAGCTTTGCATGTGAGATGGTTGGCCATGCTTCACTACTTCACCTATAGTTAAATCATCAACATATTTCCAATGTCTGCAGTTTTCAACTACATAATAGGGCCCATGGCGTCATGTAGATCAATGGTAATTTGTTTAGAAACTTAAAATCTCAGTGGGGGGGGGGGGGGCGACAAGGTTTCATGGGGGCGGTCGCCCCCCCCCCCACGCCCCCCCCCCCCCCCCCTCCCGGTGGCTACGCCACTGGTCTCAAATGCCCTTCGACAGTACCCACAATGCACAAACAGCCTTTTTGTAAAGTCAGTGGCGCGATTTTGTCAAAGGCCATTTGAGACAAACAATGCGCGTTGTCAGAGGTTACGAATGCGCAGTTGGAACTCCGAAAAGGCTTATCAGAGCGTGAATTCATCAGAGTATCCCAGCGTCCTTGCGTTTGCAGGGCGGGGGGTACGAGCGAATGGTACAATCACTGTGCAATAGTCGTAGCCTTGTTGCCATTTTGTGATTGGACAATTAACGACGTTGAAGTACATGTACGCATGTACGATGTACGGTACCATGTGCACCACGTATGGGCGCTGCATGTACGTGTTCATGATCAGGGGCGGATCCAGGATTTTCAAAAAGGGGGGCACAAAAACTTTGTTCGCGTTGCACACATAACGAGACTGAAGCGCGAAATCCCTTGCGGGCGGGGTTGAGGGCACTGGAAGCTCTACGATTGTAGATGTTCTCTCCTATCATGAGTATTTTAAGCCATTAAGAGCAAAATTCACAATGTTTATTTTTTTAATTTTAATAACACTAATTTTTTTCTATCAAATATATAATTTAAAGTTACTGTTGATGTTAGTTGAAAATGAACCCCAAAATTAGAAGGTGCTGATGACAGTCCCCGGGTGAAAAAAAAATGAACATGTGTTATTTTTGCGAGCGAGCGGAGCAAGCGAGCCAAAAAAAAAATTAAGTTTACTTTATTAAAACATACATCTCTACCCAGAAATTTGCCTGGCAAAAAAATAAAATAAAATAAATTGAATGTCATTAGGGGACAGCCTGCCCAAACAACCCCTACCCCCACCCCTACCCATTTTGGTTGATGTTATTGTCGTTTCATTTTTTTAAATTTTTTTTTTTGGCTTCCATCATCATTAATAATATCCTTTTCGTTTTGCCCCTCTCCTATCATAAAAAAAATTGATGATATTAGCAAAATTTTCCCATAGCGTTTAAACGTTTAGTCAAGACTTCAAAAAGACTGCCGCCTGTGTCCCAGTATAATATGTGGTAACTGCGGTCACATAATATACTTACTTTGTATATACACTTGTATACACTTTAAGTTTAACCACCATTTTTTCCATGTTCTTTTGAAGTCTGCAGGCTATAAAATAATTTAAGACGAAATGAATCGTCTACATTCTGCAAGTGTTGTCAAATCACTTCAAGAAAAGTCAAGGCCTGAGGAAAATCGTTTATTTTTATGTTTTTTGGGGGGGCTCCGATTTTCTTAAAAAGAAAACAAAAAAACAACCTTTTATTTAACGGAAATGCAAACTGCATCCAAATTCCAATTTCCAAAATATGAAAAACTTTGCCTGCACAAATTTCCCAAAAGGGCAGCATTCCTGAGCTGCCGCTTTCACATACAAGGTTTCAATATAGTCACATACAAGATTTCTGGCTACGCAACGGGCAGTCCCAGGCATCACAGGGAGCCTCCTAGCAACAGTATTTCTAGGCAACCAGGTTGGAATGTGATGGGCATGCAGCCATGCACCAGTGGCTCAGATAGCTAATCACTCCAGTTGCGCGTGGAAGTCATATTCATGAAAGCAGATAGTACCGGTATACTCGCAAATTTCCAGGTAGGTCTGCCTGAATCGCCAAGACTCGTCTCGTCGATTATAGCGCCCTAGTACTGTTGATGTCGTTCCGCTGCATAGCGCTAGGCGGCTTGTTTGTAAATGAACATAATCCAAATCCAGTTTTGGACCAAGCAAGACTACTTTGGATAAAGCATCTGGGTCAGAGTTTACCTGACAGTCTGGTCATAGTTGTGTAAATTAGCCTACACTTCTTGTCAACATGACAATTGCTTGTGTCAATTTTACACTTTTCTGGCCAGGGACACGTCCACATGATATGACCCAGAAAAGTGACCCAGAGAGACGTCATTTTGATCCAGTGTCTGCAGGTCAGATCTCCCCAGGATACAGTGATAATCTTAATTGTATTCCTTTTAAAAAGGAAATAATTTTGGAAATAAAGAGTTGAAGTGCCGTCTTTAACCCAGAAAGTCTAGGGTTAAATCTGACCCAGAATCGAATCAGGGTCCTTTTTGACTTGGGGTCAAAGTGGCACTTTTCTGGGTCTAAATGACACTTTTGGCAAGATTTCCAGGTCAAAATGATCTGGGAAACAATCAAGAGAAGTGTCATAAGTTTACCTAGCTAGGATGATCCTAGCGTTATGTTTATGCATAACAAAGTTTACCCTGCAAAGTGTAATCGTGACCTTGAAAAGTACACTCTAAAACTAAAAAATCCAGGCAGATTTGACCCGGCGCGGAATCCGGGTTATGTTTGGCCTGACATTTTTTTTCTTGATCAAAATGACACTTTATCGGGTCAAAATTACCAGAAAGTGAATCGGACAAAGTGACAATTCATTATCATTTTGACCCCTAAAAGTATCGGGTCAAACTTGACCCGGAAGTTTTGAGAGTATCGGGTAAAACTGACCGAGGACTTTTTAGAGTGTATCTTCGCCAACTTTGCTGTGTTTCTTGTTGTTTTTGGCAGCTCTGGTGTTCGATGGCTCGTCGTGTCCTCCGCCAGAAGCGAACACAGGGAATCATAACGACACGATCTTGGCATACCTGCCCTCCAACGTGTCAGTCACCCCTATCTACTGGACCAACCCAGTGCTGGAGTCGCCGCCTGCCAGTACCCTTGAGTACATCTTTTGCGAGCCTGACCCCAACATGGATATTGACATCTACTGCCGGTCGGGGGACGAGTTCCCTGTGACGTATAATAACGATAATGATGGGCGCATCAAGGTCATTTACCAGCTGGTTGATCCGACTCCTCCCGACTTTGAAAATGGCGATTGTGTTTTCTACATAAGGATTCTTGGTAAGTTACACTCCTAAAAGTCGCCAGGTTCAGATTTGACTGGGTCAAAGCAAATCTGTGTTGCGATTTTATTTTTATAAATAATTATGCTGATCACAAGTATCAAAAAATAAAGCTGCCTTGAAAATTTGTATGTTTATAGATAAGCTGCATGAGGAAAAAAAACCTGTATCGCTCTTTTACTAAGTCAAATCAAGAAAAAAATACCGTAAATAGGAGTCTTTCGTCGACAACTTTTACCCCTCTAAACAGACGAGGACGCTCCGACGATAACTTGCCCGCGGCCGTCGGATGTCAACGAGAATACCGACGCAGGTGCAACAACGTATACATTGGTCTATAGTGCGCCCGAAGTTGCGGACAACTCTGAGGGCGTGGTCTGGAGCTCTGACATCACAAACGGCACTGCCCTCTCCATTGGTCCCCACGTTGTGACGTTTACAGCTACTGATACTTCTGGAAATACAGCCCAATGTTCTTTCACTGTAACAGTTGAAGGTATTTAAAACACATTAATGGCTTTCCGTGAACTTTTTTTTTTAGCTAGGGTTCTTCCAATCTTGATGTCGACCAAAAATCCTATATCGCCATGTTTTTTTTTTATGGCCGAGCATGTTGATCGGACGTATCGATTGTTTGTAAAGTACTCTTCAAGTACTTTTTCTGATTGGTTTCCAGACTCTGAGCCTCCTGAACTGGACTGTCTGGACTCCTTCGCCATCACCACAGCAGTGGGCCAACCTTACGGCGTTGCATCTTGGGTGATACCGACCGCGACCGACAACTCCGGCGATGCGCCAGTGCAGACCGCCAACCTGACCAGCCCTGCAAACCTAGGCATCGGCATCCATACAGTGACCTACGATGCAACGGATGGTAGCGACAATACCGCCTCCTGTACATTCCAGATCACTGTTACAGGTAGGGAAATGTAACTATAATGTGTCTATCTGGGGTTTTCCCCAGAATCTTCTTCTGGGGTTTTCCTCCCATCTCTAAAACTGTGAATTTCTTCTCATTGTCTTCTCTCTACAGGTTTCTTCAGGCTCTTGAGCTGCAGTGCCTACATACAGGTTGGATAAAAAAAAAAAAACCAACATATTATTGCTAATTGGAACGAAAGTAGGGAACATGTGAATCAAAGGGAGATATCCTCTGTTAGGGTTGAATCTCCTCTTTAAAATGACGCACTGATCATGTCCTTACATTCACGGTTGACTGAGCAGTGACCAATTTTTATGAAAGGGTCTATTTAGAGAATTGCGCCACTTTTCATGGTGAAATCTCTTTTTTCCCCCACCTGCCTTGATTGGCAACCATAGCCTTTCACTCTGTGACAAATGACACAACAAAAACCACTATTCAAAAGTGGCGCAATTCTCTAAATAGACCCCTCCATAAAATTGGTCCCTGCTCAGTCAACCAAGAATGTAATGACATGATCAGGTTGTCATTTAAAAGAGGAGATTCAACCCTAACAGTGGATATCTCCCTTTGATTCACATGTGCCCTACATCTGTTTCAATTAGCAATAATATCTCGGTTTCAGTTTTTTTTTTATCCACCCTGTATAAAGAGCACTTTTGAGGAATCCTTGGTTTCAGATAAAATAAAAAACTACAATGATTAAAGATCAGAAATTATTTACCCAATTTTTTTGCTGTAATCAGCTCAAAACACCACGGTGTCGAAAGTCCTGCGACATTTGTTTGTGTACTTATTTATTAAGTTTTCAGTTAAAAGTAACAGTTGAACTGTTGACCATTATTAAACTATTTTTCATTAATATACAAATTAAGCTTCAAAATAATTCTCATATTCATGTTCCATGCTTTTTTGCAGATGAAGAGGCTCCAGACTTGAGTTGTTTGACTTCATTTTCTATCGAAACCGTGTTTGGTCTCCCATACGGAACGGCTACATGGATGATCCCTATGGCCAGCGACAACTCGGGTGAAACCCCCGTGCAGACTGCGAACCAGACTAGTCCTGTCAATCTAGAAATCGGCACCTACACCGTCACCTATGATGCCACTGATGCCAGTGGTAACAGTGCGGAATGTTCATTCAAGATAACAGTCGTCGGTAAGTGTAGTATACAAGTAATGAATGTTTATGAGTGCAAAGGTAAGAATAATTTCATGAGGTGAGTGGAACGTTCCATTTCATGAGGCGAAGCCAAGTGGAATGGGACATAAGTCCATCTGTTACTGAATTAAATTATTATTTCCATTGCACAAAACGAGCAATTCATTATTTGTTTTGTACAACATCTGAATAAATCCTTGTTATCTGAGTGGTCAGAGCCACCAATAGTTTGACCGTGCAACAAAATTTATACTTACCGTGGAATATTACCTTGGGTTGGGACGAATAATTGAATGATATGTGATCAACGACCAACCACTCAATGTTGTCTCTCATTGTGCGTTGTGTGTTCCATCAGCTAGAGAGAGCATGGGCGTCGTGAGGTGGGGGGGGGGGGGGGCGGGTGAGAGAACAACATTGTTGAACATTGACCAGGGGAGTGGGTGACCGTGGGAGGCCAAGGTTATTTTCAAGTGTCCCAAGCATTTGGCCGGGATTGTAGATTCAAGAGCAATTCTGACCTAGGACATTTGTTTTAGTGTGCCTTCCATTCGAGTTAATTGATTCTGCTTCCTTTCTTTTTTTTTCAGAGGGAATTCCACTGTCAGTAACTTGCACTCCGTTTTCCTTAACGACGGACTCCAACGAAGCCCACGCCACATACACACTGCCTTTGAACCCGGACGTAATCGAGCATAACTCTGGGAGCTATACCGTCGAGACCACAGTCACCACACAAGACGGGACGCCAGTCTCGCACACTGATGGCCAGAGTGCCCAGTTCAGTTACGATGAAGTTTACAGCGTCCAGTACTGTGTCCAAGACAGCACGACAACAGAATGCTGCACAAGTCAACTGGCAGTTCAGGGTAAGCATTTTGAAAGCAGGATCAGTTTGATATATATACATATTTCTTTAAAAATTATAGGAAACCCAAATTAAATGGAAGATGCTTATTGATGACGTCACACATTCATTGTTCCAGCGAAAAGATGTTTTTTGCTCCATTCTATTAAAGAAAACTGTTTATTCCATAAAAACATTGTGCATGTTTTCCTGTCATCGGCTTCTCAGATTTACTCACATTCTTAAAATAAATCCCAAATAAATGCATAAACCGAGCTGCAAATAAGTGTTCGATCGGTGACATTTAGAATGGTTTGCATGTAAAAAAAAAATGTGCTGAAAGTTGGTGGCAATTGGGATTAGATGTTTTGAAATATTTCAGATGACGAGGACCCGGTAATAACTTGCCCAGCAGCGTTCGAGACAGCCACCGATGCCGGGGTTGCATATTACAATGAATCTCTACCCGCTGCTACGGTTACTGATAACTCTGGCGAAGACATTATGTACATTCCAGAGGATGGCCCTTATCCACTCGGCACCAACACTGTCACGTACACTGCCACAGATTCCAGCCGCAACAGTGCTAGTTGCACAGTGGAGGTCACTGTGAAAGGTAGCCCAGCATGTTTACTTGTTCACACAGACTTTAATACCTTTCACATTACAAATGGTTTGTACACGGCGAGTCTCAAAATAAACAGCAGTACTCACCTTCACTAATAAGTCGCTCCTTGATTATGTGTTGTGCGTGTGCAATGTGACTTTTTTAGTAGGTTAGTAATTGACCAATTGTGGTAGAATCTCATCAACGCAGCTTGTGAAATATTGTCCAATTACATTATATACAAATGGACGCGGAATGTGCAAAATTGGAGGCAAACAAAATTTAACGTAAAAAAATCCATATAGCGTTGTCTGAAGGTCAATTAGGCGAATCCGTGAATGGATGCACGCAAACGTTGGCACGAGGCGCACGTGTGTGTGGTTGCTATTATTTGTCGGTTCAGTGCGTAACATTGCATAGATACAATCCTTTCATTGAGAACATGTGTTCTGGATACTGATGTGGGCACAATTCAAAATATGACTCAGCAAGTTTTAAAATGAAATCAAGATCCTAGAATATTGTTATCTCGGAATATACAGCATTCACAGAGCTCAAACTTCATCAAGTTAGTTGTTGAGCACCCGTCTTTAGATTTTGAGCATTTTGGTTGCTTCAAACGAAACAAATGCACAAATGGCAAATGATATACGCTACCTTTAATTATTTTCACGAGCAAAAGCCTAGGCTTTTGTTACACCACTGTGTATTAGAATCACTAATTCTCATTACACACAAATTGGTTTCAGCTGAAAATCATACCTCTTGCAATGTTCTTCTTAATTTTCAACTGAGAGTCATCCATTTTTATTAATTACTTTCAGGATCACAGTTGTATTAATGTGTTTAAATAATAATTACGCCTGTTTTCTTTCTCTTCATATATTTTTCATTCAAACTTACTTGTGTCGGTGAACCTTCAATCATCTTCTATTTTGTCAACACACAACCAGCTGATGCTAATAGACTACTTTTTAAATTTTCTTGTTTTTTGGGGGGGTTTCAGACGAAGAACGACCAACCATTCTCACCTGCATAGATAGCGTCGGAACGACCAATATGGGATCAGGCGTAGCGACGGCCTCCTACGAACTACCCACTGGCATCGATAACTCGGGCTTAGAAGTCACTGTTCAGTGCACGCCGGTACTGGGCACCCTCCTCCCACTAGGAACTCACACGGTCACCTGTGTCTTCCGTGATCAAGCGGTGCCTGTCAATATCAACCTTTGCTTCATAACGGTGACTGTAGGTGGTAAGTTGAAACCACTTGATGCACTCTTAAAAGTCCACAAGGCCGGGCGTCATCAATCGCTTCTCTAAGGTGGGGGGGGGGGGACATACCTTGATCAGAACTAATGTGAGCGTGAAGCGCAAAGCCATAACAGTGGGGGTTCGGGGCCTGCTTAAGGGTCCTGGATAATTTTGGATTCTAGATGCTGTGTGGTGTGATCTGAGACAATTTCTGACCACTTTAACCATTTGTTTTAGCCAAAGAACATCATTTTCAAGTTTGGAGTCAATGACTTAGGGGCCATTCAAAATTCTCAATGTTTTTAAATTTTGAGTTTTTTTCCAAATTATTATGACCCACCCAACCACCCCCAATTTCGATTAATATTAAAAAAGACTGATTTGTCATGGCATAGGCACATTAGGTTTGGGCAGACCTCACACAGAAGAGAATCTTTGGAGAGAGATGGGCAAGTTGTGCTGTCAGGTCACTCACAATAGCCTAGGCCTCTCCGTAGAAATTGTTTTTAAAAATAAACAAAAACCTGAGTCTGAGAGAGTCCAAATTCTTCACAAATATTCATCTCAATAAAAGTCTGTTTGAGATTTTGTAATTATTACTAAAATGGGCCCCTTCAAAAGGTTACAGTCAATGACAGTAAACAATAAACATAAGCATGCAAGTCGAAACAATTCACCCCAGACATGCAAGACCATGAAGAAAATGCCAGACGGATATTCTATAAAATTCCCAAAACATCTTCTAAAATTAATTTTGGAATGATTACAAAATTATAGTTCATTTAAATCATGGAGAAAAAAAACATGACCCAAACTAGGCCTATGTATTTTTTTTCCCCGGAAACTGAGAATTCCAATACAGTCGTTTTCCTAGTTCCAAATAGCAAACATCATTCAGGCTGCTTTCGGCTCAACTACTGCACAAATTCAAGTGACATTCATTAAAAAGTTTACCTTGAGTGACAGAGATGTTACACAACAATTTTCCAAATTTAAGCTCTTTTAAATTTGCCTTTGCGACGTCAATTATACCGATGCCCTTTTTCCTAGTTCCAGATCAGTTCAATTAGTTCTGAATCGATTAAAAACTGCTTCGCGAGAAAAAAAAATCCCGCGAGAAAATCAATTTTTCAGCCAGAAAAACCCTGAATTAAGCACATTTCTGATAAAGTATTGTTTAATTTTCCAAAAATAGTTTATTCAAGAGAATGCCAGCAAATTTTAAAAAGAGAAAAACGTAGTTGCGTCATAAGTGCACGCGCGATCTGGAACTAGTTAAAAGCATACGGTCATTCGTTGGTGAGTTTTCAAAAATAAGAGACTTTACAAATTATTTTGATTCTACAAACATTTGATGGAAGAGTTTATACGACTGTAGTGTATGAACAAAATATTCAAAAACACACAGTACGAGTGATGTACCAAGTAGAAAATTTATTGTCGATTTGCAGCTCCCGTGATTTTCTAAAAACGGTCCAAATATGTCAAAGGGTTTTTATTTGAAGCTATCCGGAACTAGGAAAATCCGGAACTAGGAAAAAAAAATCAAAATTTAAAGACGTCGAAAATTTTGAATGGCCCCTTGGCTATTCTGGGCTACAGAATCAAATGTAGGCTCCACTTTTTTTCAGGGACTAGAAAATTGGGTCCAGGTCATTCTGACTCACCCTGTAGTCTAGTCATTCGCTTGCCATTCCTGCGCTTAGGTCTCGTGTTTATAAATCTGCTGGTACCTCTGATTTCTCATCTTAATGTTTCCAATTTGATCATTCATTGCCAGACGATGAGATGCCTTCGATCGCCTGCCCATCCAATATCACAGTAGGAACAGACGCAGGCGAGTCACACACAATTCAGACCTTTCCAACAAGCTACACAGCGTCAGACAACTCCGGCAGCTTTGCTGTCAATATCACCAATGTCTACCCTGGTTTGCCATCTCAGGGACCATTCACCCCAGGAAGTACTTATACCTTCGAAATTAACGACAGCCCCTATATTTGGTACTACATAGCGTACGATTCTCATGGAAATGAGGACAGTTGTGTATGGACGATCAGTGTCATAGGTAAGTCCATTTTATTATGCCCTGCGGCGAAGCCGAAGGGGCATACTGTTTCTGCCTTGTCCTTCCGTGGGTGGGTGTGTGTGCATGTACAAACACCGCCTTGTGGGGTACCGGAACAATGGGAGGTACCCCACAAGGAATGCCCACCGACTTGCGGGGTACTGTTTTGGTACCCCACAAGTTTTTCACGAAATAGATATATGGATTTTACTCAAAAACTAGGAATTTCCAAGGTGGGTTGATGTGTCGCAAATGGAAAAGTTTTAGAAAAGGGATATTAAGTCCGAATTTCAGCCCAGGAAATTAACTATGGTTAATAAAAGCATTTTGACATAAGTGTGCGACGTTGCAAAATTTTTACACGAGAACAAAGGAAGTACCCCACTTCTATGCCTATGTAAGCGTGCGTGGGTGGGTGGGTGTCCGGATAAATCTTGTCAGCGCGATAACTTGAGAAATACTTCACATGTGAACTTAAAATTTGGTTTGTGGATTGTCCTTGGCAATCATAAGAAGCCTATTGCATTTGGAGCCGAAACGTCAAGGGTCAAGGTCACAGTGGTTAAAACAAAAGAAATTTTGTCAGCGCGATAACTTGAGAAATACTTTAAATGTGAACTTAAAATTTGGTTAGTGGATTGTCCTTGGCAATCCTAAGACGCCTTTTGCATTTGGGGCCAAAAGGTCAAGGGTCAAGGTCACAGTAGCTAAAACAAACATGTGAATTCCTTTGGGGAACTAACCCACCGGGCCGGTTTTTATGTGCAACCTCTATGAGAGAACACGGCGAAAAAATCATTAAATGATACATGGTCAGCCACACCCTCGGCTACGGATAATGTGGACACCTTAACTGCGAGTGACATCAGTTGTACAGATGGGAATGGCAATACAGTGGTGTCAGCAGGCACATACACTTTGGGAACCACGACGGTCACGTGCACTGTCTCTGATGCCGCTGGGAATATGGATACATGCATGTTCACCATACAAATCATAGGTAAGAGTGGGTAGTGGCTCTTTGTCCTGGATTAATGGAACTGAGTAGTTTTTGATTGACTGACAGAAGTTGCAAATAGAAAAGGCAAATTTGTTTTTGGCGTCTAGCTCATTTATTTTCTTTTGATTTCATGCTGCCTAACAGATGATGAAAACCCTGACATCACATGTCCTGCCGCAATCATGGGCATGTCTACTGACGCTGGAGTTGCGACTGCTGTCGTTACATGGTCAGCCACACCCTCGGCTACAGATAATGTGGACACCTTGACTGCAAGTGACATCAGTTGTACAGATGGGAATGGCAATTCAGTGGTGTCAGCGGGCACATACACTTTGGGCACCACGACGGTCACGTGCACTGTCTCTGATGTCGCTGGGAATATGGATACATGCATGTTCACCATAGAAATCATAGGTAAGAGTGGGTAGTGGCTCTTTGTACTGGATTAATGGAACTGAGTAGTTTTTGATTGACTTACAGAAGTTGCGGATAGAAAAGGCAAGTTTGTTTTTTTGCGTCCAGCTCATTTATTTTCTTTTGATTTAATGCTGCCCAACAGATGATGAAAACCCTGACATCACATGTCCTAACGCAGTCATGGGCATGTCTACGGACGCTGGAGTTGCGACTGCTGTCGTTACATGGTCAGCCACACCCTCGGCTACGGATAATGTGGACACCTTGACTGCAAGTGACATCAGTTGTACAGATGGGAATGGCAATTCGGTGGTGTCAGCGGGCACATACACTTTGGGCACCACGACGGTCACGTGCACTGTCTCTGATGCCGCTGGGAATATGGATACATGCATGTTCACCATAGAAATCATAGGTAAGAGTGGGTAGTGGCTCTTTGTCCTGGATTAATGGAACTGAGTAGTTTTTGATTGACTTACAGAAGTTGCAGATAGAAAAGGCAAATTTGTTTTTGGCGTCTAGCTCATTTATTTTCTTTTGATTTAATGCTGCCTAACAGATGATGAAAACCCTGACATCACATGTCCTAACGCAGTCACGGGCATGTCTACGGACGCTGGAGTTGCGACTGCTGTCGTTACATGGTCAGCCACACCCTCGGCTACGGATAATGTGGACACCTTGACTGCAAGTGACATCAGTTGTACAGATGGGAATGGCAATTCAGTGGTGTCAGCGGGCACATACACTTTGGGCACCACGACGGTCACGTGCACTGTCTCTGATGTCGCTGGGAATATGGATACATGTATGTTCACCATAGAAACCATAGGTAAGAGTGGGTAGTGGCTCTTTGTCCTGGATTAATGGAACTGAGTAGTTTTCGATTGACTTACAGAAGTTCTGGATAGAAAAGGCAAATTTGTTGTTGGCGTCCAGCTCATTTATTTTCTTTTGATTTAATGCTGCCCAACAGATGATGAAAACCCTGACATCACATGTCCTAACGCAGTCACGGGCATGTCTACGGACGCTGGAGTTGCGACTGCTGTCGTTACATGGTCAGCCACACCCTCGGCTACGGATAATGTGGACACCTTGACTGCAAGTGACATCAGTTGTACAGATGGGAATGGCAATTCGGTGGTGTCAGCGGGCACATACACTTTGGGCACCACGACGGTCACGTGCACTGTCTCTGATGCCGCTGGGAATATGGATACATGCATGTTCACCATAGAAATCATAGGTAAGAGTGGGTAGTGGCTCTTTGTCCTGGATTAACCCTAACCCCCAAAGGGCTGTTTGGGGGTCAAGTACCAAAACCACAGAATACTAAATGTGCTGTGCACACTTGTATGGAAAGAAATTAATACTACAGGTTACTACTCAGTGGTATTTTGTAGCATTGGGGGCGGTTAGGGTTAATGGAACTGAGTAGTTTTTGATTGACTTACAGAAGTTGCAGATAGAAAAGGCAAATTTGTTTTTGGCGTCTAGCTCATTTATTTTCTTTTGATTTAATGCTGCCTAACAGATGATGAAAACCCTGACATCACATGTCCTAACGCAGTCACGGGCATGTCTACGGACGTTGGAGTTGCGACTGCTGTCGTTACATGGTCAGCCACACCCTCGGCTACGGATAATGTGGACACCTTGACTGCAAGTGACATCAGTTGTATAGATGGGAATGGCAATTCAGTGGTGTCAGCGGGCACATACACTTTGGGCACCACGACGGTCACGTGCACTGTCTCTGATGTCGCTGGGAATATGGATACATGCATGTTCACCATAGAAATCATAGGTAAGAGTGGGTAGTGGCTCTATGTCCTGGATTAATGGAACTGAGTAGTTTTCGATTGACTTACAGAAGTTGCAAATAGAAAAGGCAAGTTTGTTTTTGGCGTCCAGCTCATTTATTTTCTTTTGATTTAATGCTGCCCAACAGATGATGAAAACCCTGACATCACATGTCCTAACGCAGTCACGGGCATGTCTACGGACGCTGGAGTTGCGACTGCTGTTGTTACATGGTCAGCCACACCCTCGGCTACGGATAATGTGGACACCTTGACTGCAAGTGACATCAGTTGTACAGATGGGAATGGCAATTTGGTGGTGTCAGCGGGTACATACACTTTGGGCACCACGACGGTCACGTGCACTGTCTCTGATGCCGCTGGGAATATGGATACATGCATGTTCACCATAGAAATCATAGGTAAGAGTGGGTAGTGGCTCTTTGTCCTGGATTAATGGAACTGAGTAGTTTTTGATTGACTTACAGAAGTTGCAGATAGAAAAGGCAAATTTGTTTTTGGCGTCTAGCTCATTTATTTTCTTTTGATTTAATGCTGCCTAACAGATGATGAAAACCCTGACATCACATGTCCTAACGCAGTCACGGGCATGTCTACGGACGCTGGAGTTGCGACTGCTGTCGTTACATGGTCAGCCACACCCTCGGCTACGGATAATGTGGACACCTTGACTGCAAGTGACATCAGTTGTACAGATGGGATTGGCAATTCAGTGGTGTCAGCGGGCACATACACTTTGGGCACCACGACGGTCACGTGCACTGTCTCTGATGCCGCTGGGAATATGGATACATGCATGTTCACCATAGAAATCATAGGTAAGAGTGGGTAGTGGCTCTTTGTCCTGGATTAATGGAACTGAATAGTTTTCGATTGACTTACAGAAGTTCCGGATAGAAAAGGCAAATTTGTTTTTGGCGTCTAGCTCATTTATTTTCTTTTGATTTAATGCTGCCTAACAGATGATGAAAACCCTGACATCACATGTCCTAACGCAGTCACGGGCATGTCTACGGATGCTGGAGTTGCAACTGCTGTCGTTACATGGTCAGCCACACCCTCGGCTACGGATAATGTGGACACCTTGACTGCAAGTGACATCAGTTGTACAGATGGGAATGGCAATACAGTGGTGTCTGCGGGCACATACACTTTGGGCACCACGACGGTCACGTGCACTGTCTCTGATGCCGCTGGGAATATGGATACATGCATGTTCACCATAGAAATCATAGGTAAGAGTGGGTAGTGGCTCTTTGTCCTGGATTAATGGAACTGAGTAGTTTTCGATTGACTTACAGAAGTTGCAAATAGAAAAGGCAAGTTTGTTTTTTTGCGTCCAGCTCATTTATTTTCTTTTGATTTAATGCTGCCCAACAGATGATGAAAACCCTGACATCACATGTCCTAACGCAGTCACGGGCATGTCTACGGACGCTGGAGTTGCGACTGCTGTCGTTACATGGTCAGCCACACCCTCGGCTACGGATAATGTGGACACCTTGACTGCAAGTGACATCAGTTGTACAGATGGGAATGGCAATTCAGTGGTGTCAGCGGGCACATACACTTTGGGCACCACGACGGTCACGTGCACTGTCTCTGATGTCGCTGGGAATATGGATACATGTATGTTCACCATAGAAACCATAGGTAAGAGTGGGTAGTGGCTCTTTGTCCTGGATTAATGGAACTGAGTAGTTTTCGATTGACTTACAGAAGTTCTGGATAGAAAAGGCAAGTTTGTTGTTGGCGTCCAGCTCATTTATTTTCTTTTGATTTAATGCTGCCCAACAGATGATGAAAACCCTGACATCACATGTCCTAACGCAGTCACGGGCATGTCTACGGACGCTGGAGTTGCGACTGCTGTCGTTACATGGTCAGCCACACCCTCGGCTACGGATAATGTGGACACCTTGACTGCAAGTGACATCAGTTGTACAGATGGGAATGGCAATTCGGTGGTGTCAGCGGGCACATACACTTTGGGCACCACGACGGTCACGTGCACTGTCTCTGATGCCGCTGGGAATATGGATACATGCATGTTCACCATAGAAATCATAGGTAAGAGTGGGTAGTGGCTCTTTGTCCTGGATTAACCCTAACCCCCAAAGGGCTGTTTGGGGGTCAAGTACCAAAACCACAGAATACTAAATGTGCTGTGCACACTTGTATGGAAAGAAATTAATACTACAGGTTACTACTCAGTGGTATTTTGTAGCATTGGGGGCGGTTAGGGTTAATGGAACTGAGTAGTTTTTGATTGACTTACAGAAGTTGCAGATAGAAAAGGCAAATTTGTTTTTGGCGTCTAGCTCATTTATTTTCTTTTGATTTAATGCTGCCTAACAGATGATGAAAACCCTGACATCACATGTCCTAACGCAGTCACGGGCATGTCTACGGACGCTGGAGTTGCGACTGCTGTCGTTACATGGTCAGCCACACCCTCGGCTACGGATAATGTGGACACCTTGACTGCAAGTGACATCAGTTGTATAGATGGGAATGGCAATTCAGTGGTGTCAGCGGGCACATACACTTTGGGCACCACGACGGTCACGTGCACTGTCTCTGATGTCGCTGGGAATATGGATACATGCATGTTCACCATAGAAATCATAGGTAAGAGTGGGTAGTGGCTCTATGTCCTGGATTAATGGAACTGAGTAGTTTTCGATTGACTTACAGAAGTTGCAAATAGAAAAGGCAAGTTTGTTTTTGGCGTCCAGCTCATTTATTTTCTTTTGATTTAATGCTGCCCAACAGATGATGAAAACCCTGACATCACATGTCCTAACGCAGTCACGGGCATGTCTACGGACGCTGGAGTTGCGACTGCTGTTGTTACATGGTCAGCCACACCCTCGGCTACGGATAATGTGGACACCTTGACTGCAAGTGACATCAGTTGTACAGATGGGAATGGCAATTTGGTGGTGTCAGCGGGTACATACACTTTGGGCACCACGACGGTCACGTGCACTGTCTCTGATGCCGCTGGGAATATGGATACATGCATGTTCACCATAGAAATCATAGGTAAGAGTGGGTAGTGGCTCTTTGTCCTGGATTAATGGAACTGAGTAGTTTTTGATTGACTTACAGAAGTTGCAGATAGAAAAGGCAAATTTGTTTTTGGCGTCTAGCTCATTTATTTTCTTTTGATTTAATGCTGCCTAACAGATGATGAAAACCCTGACATCACATGTCCTAACGCAGTCACGGGCATGTCTACGGACGCTGGAGTTGCGACTGCTGTCGTTACATGGTCAGCCACACCCTCGGCTACGGATAATGTGGACACCTTGACTGCAAGTGACATCAGTTGTACAGATGGGATTGGCAATTCAGTGGTGTCAGCGGGCACATACACTTTGGGCACCACGACGGTCACGTGCACTGTCTCTGATGCCGCTGGGAATATGGATACATGCATGTTCACCATAGAAATCATAGGTAAGAGTGGGTAGTGGCTCTTTGTCCTGGATTAATGGAACTGAATAGTTTTCGATTGACTTACAGAAGTTCCGGATAGAAAAGGCAAATTTGTTTTTGGCGTCTAGCTCATTTATTTTCTTTTGATTTAATGCTGCCTAACAGATGATGAAAACCCTGACATCACATGTCCTAACGCAGTCACGGGCATGTCTACGGATGCTGGAGTTGCAACTGCTGTCGTTACATGGTCAGCCACACCCTCGGCTACGGATAATGTGGACACCTTGACTGCAAGTGACATCAGTTGTACAGATGGGAATGGCAATACAGTGGTGTCTGCGGGCACATACACTTTGGGCACCACGACGGTCACGTGCACTGTCTCTGATGCCGCTGGGAATATGGATACATGCATGTTCACCATAGAAATCATAGGTAAGAGTGGGTAGTGGCTCTTTGTCCTGGATTAATGGAACTGAGTAGTTTTCGATTGACTTACAGAAGTTGCAAATAGAAAAGGCAAGTTTGTTTTTTTGCGTCCAGCTCATTTAATTTCTTTTGATTTAATGCTGCCCAACAGATGATGAAAACCCTGACATCACATGTCCTAACGCAGTCACGGGCATGTCTACGGACGCTGGAGTTGCGACTGCTGTCGTTACATGGTCAGCCACACCCTCGGCTACAGATAATGTGGACACCTTGACTGCAAGTGACATCAGTTGTACAGATGGGAATGGCAATTCGGTGGTGTCAGCGGGCACATACACTTTGGGCACCACGACGGTCACGTGCACTGTCTCTGATGCCGCTGGGAATATGGAAACATGCATGTTCACCATAGAAATCATAGGTAAGAGTGGGTAGTGGCTCTTTTTCCTGGATTAATGGAACTGAGTAGTTTTTGATTGACTTACAGAAGTTGCAGACAGAAAAGGCAAATTTGTTTTTGGCGTCTAGCTCATTTATTTTCTTTTGATTTAATGCTGCCAACAGATGATGAAAACCCTGACATCACATGTCCTAACGCAGTCACGGGCATGTCTACGGACGCTGGAGTTGCGACTGCTGTCGTTACATGGTCAGCCACACCCTCGGCTACGGATAATGTGGACACCTTGACTGCAAGTGACATCAGTTGTACAGATGGGAATGGCAATTCGGTGGTGTCAGCGGGCACATACACTTTGGGCACCACGACTGTCACGTGCACTGTCTCTGATGCCGCTGGGAATATGGATACATGCATGTTCACCATAGAAATCATAGGTAAGAGTGGGTAGTGGCTCTTTGTCCTGGATTAATGGAACTGAGTAGTTTTTGATTGACTTACAGAAGTTGCAGATAGAAAAGGCAAATTTGTTTTTGGCGTCTAGCCCATTTATTTTCTTTTGATTTAATGCTGCCTAACAGATGATGAAAACCCTGACATCACATGTCCTAACGCAGTCACGGGCATGTCTACAGACGCTGGAGTTGCGACTGCTGTCGTTACATGGTCAGCCACACCCTCGGCTACGGATAATGTGGACACCTTGACTGCAAGTGACATCAGTTGTACAGATGGGAATGGCAATTTGGTGGTGTCTGCGGGCACATACACTTTGGGCACCACGACGGTCACGTGCACTGTCTCTGATGCTGCTGGGAATATGGATACATGCATGTTCACCATAGAAATCATAGGTAAGAGTGGGTAGTGGCTCTTTGTCCTGGATTAATGGAACTGAGTAGTTTTCGATTGACTTACAGAAGTTCCGGATAGAAAAGGCAAGTTTGTTTTTTTGCGTCCAGCTCATTTATTTTCTTTTGATTTAATGCTGCCCAACAGATGATGAAAACCCTGACATCACATGTCCTAACGCAGTCACGGGCATGTCTACGGACGCTGGAGTTGCGACTGCTGTCGTTACATGGTCAGCCACACCCTCGGCTACGGATAATGTGGACACCTTGACTGCAAGTGACATCAGTTGTACAGATGGGAATGGCAATACAGTGGTGTCTGCGGGCACATACACTTTGGGCACCACGACGGTCACGTGCACTGTCTCTGATGCTGCTGGGAATATGGATACATGCATGTTCACCATAGAAATCATAGGTAAGAGTGGGTAGTGGCTCTTTGTCCTGGATTAATGGAACTGAGTAGTTTTCGATTGACTTACAGAAGTTCCGGATAGAAAAGGCAAGTTTGTTTTTTTGCGTCCAGCTCATTTATTTTCTTTTGATTTAATGCTGCCCAACAGATGATGAAAACCCTGACATCACATGTCCTAACGCAGTCACGGGCATGTCTACGGACGCTGGAGTTGCGACTGCTGTCGTTACATGGTCAGCCACACCCTCGGCTACAGATAATGTGGACACCTTGACTGCAAGTGACATCAGTTGTACAGATGGGAATGGCAATTCGGTGGTGTCAGCGGG